CCCAAGCTGGGTCTTGTAAGATGAAAAGGAGTTCTTTAGGTAGGAACAGGGGTTGAAGTAGTAGAATAAAAAATTCCAGGCAGGCAGATGATGAACAAGTGAAAAGGCACAAAGGCATCAAAAAGTTGGGATCCTGAAGTAGGCAGCTGAGGCTGGAGCATGGAGTGTGTGCACTGGGTGCAGAGGTAGAAGATGGGGTTGGAGGTAGATAGAGGAATCAATTCATGAAGAGCACACGTGTCATTCTCTGGTAGACCATGAGAGCCATAGAAAGATATTAAGCCAAGAAGTCGGATGATCATGCGTATTTTCAGTCTCCCGGGGACAAGGGGGCAGATAGATTAGTGGCCAGGGCATGGTGAAGAGACCACGCAGCAGTGTAGGCAAGCAGTGGAGATGAACTAACAACAGCAGGTAATGTTTATCAGGCTGGTACATCATACAGGCACCATGCAAAGCTCTTTTTCTTCATCATGGCAGTTAAATTCTCAGCAGCCCTAAGAAGTAGGTACTATTATTATTCCCATTTAACAGAAAGGAAACTGAAGCTCAGAGAAGTAAAATAACTTGCCCAAGGTCACATAGTGAGTCAGTGGCAGCACGAGCTTCAAACCTAGGTCCAACTGACTCTAGAACCTCATGCTTAGCCGCTGTACTGCTGTACCGCCACCCCACCTCCCCACCTCCCTGCAGAGCAGCCCCCAGCAGAGCAGCTCTGGACTTGGGGAGTGTGAAAAGGGGGTTGAGGGGTCATGACCTGAGCTTTGATGGCATGTGGAGCTTAAGACTGAGGGCTAACCCTCAGGTGGCCAACTGGGTACCCAGGTAGGTGATGCTGCCATCAACCTGGATGAGGACTCTGGGAGAAGGAACGGGTTTGGGGAGATGTCACGTTGTACCTATGGTTGGTCATCCAGGAAGTACCCATGAGTTGAGCTGAGAGGAAGGCCCTGGTCTGGTGATTTGGGACTTGGTGGTGAAGAGGGTGGCATGGTTGAGCGACAGCAGCCCTACTGTTCTCAAGCTAGTCCAGCAGATTTGCTGTCCCTGGCTCCTGTATCCTCAGGAAGGAGGGAAACAGGGCGAGCCTGCCAATCCTGGGCTCTTACTTATTGCTCAGCCTTTTCACAGTTGCCCCCACCACAAAGTGTTTTGCCCAGTAGATTGCAACCATTCCTCATAGTCAGGAGTGAGAATGGCCAAGGGCCGGCCTGAGTCCTGATCCTGACTGTACTGCAAGGTGACCTTGGGCAAGTCCCACTGGTTCTCCCAGGGATTCAATGTAAGGAGGGGTGAGGCTCCAGGAGCAAGAAGGACCCCTTTAACTCTGAAAACCCATGATTCTTGAGCAACCCACAGCTGGAGCCTCAAGCAGAGGCATTTCTCCAGCCAGCCCCTGAGGATGTGAGAGGGCTCCCTGGGGTAGCTCCCCTCCCACCCACCTTCCCAGATGAAACCCCCAGTGCTCAAGGCACCCTAGAGCCCCCAGACACCACTCCAGGGTGGAAGGAGTTCTCTGGGTCTGTCTGGATTTGCTCCTACAGGCAGGCTTGGAGAGGCCAAGCAGGTGGGGCTCCCCTAGGGGGCAGTGTGGGACCCGTGCACACTTCGTGGGTCTGAAGAGATGGCCTAGTGGCTGGTTAAGATAGGAACAAGACAGGGCCTGCTTCTCCGAGATCAGTTCACTTTGCTGCCAGCTCTGCTATGTCCTGTACCCTGCCAGCCCCTTAGCAAGGGGAGTGGCCAGGCTGGCTCAGTTTCAGGCAGGCACGTTTGTAAATAAGCAAAATTCTCCCAAGAAGCATCTCTATTCCCCAAGAAGGGCTGGGTGTTCGGGCCATGAGAGGAGGGGGTTTCTCCATTACGGAATGAAGGTTTTTTTCATTCAACAATTATGGAAATAAAAACTAAGCAGACACTCCCATCTGGGCTCACTCCACTCACCAGCCTGGGTGTGCAGAGACTGTAGCTGGGGGCTCAGGGTCTGGGAAGGAGTCAAGCCTCAAACCTTGTCTGGAGTATCTCAGGTCTGAGTGAGGTCACTGAAGGACACCATGAGGGGTGTAGGAATGTATGGAGCCTCTCTTTCTAAAAGGGCTCAGATGAAACTCAAACTGGGGGTGATAGAAAGGGCTTAGTGATAGCACGGGCAGCTCCTTGGGTGTCTGGAGGGGAGGACAGGAAACTGACCAAATGGAGGAGCAGGAATCTCAGGCCTTTGACACCCACCAATATGCTACATTACTGAGCACCAACACTGTGCCAGGCACCAGTGTTACACACACAAATATGACATGATCCACATGCTAAAAAGGAGTTTAGTAAGGGAGAGATCTGCATGTGAAATCAACGGCTCTTACCTACAACCTAGCAGGTTCCTGGTGGTGGTGGGGGGGAACAGCACAGCGTGGCATGGTGCTTCACAAAAGGGGGGCTCATACTTTCTCTTTCACAGGGGGATAATCCACGTAAAGGTGGGTAATCTATGTAAAGCACTTAGTATAGTATGTGGTATTAAATTACAGCTCAATAAATGGTAGCTATTATTAGCCATTATTACAAGAAGATGCAGAATAAACAAGGCACATCTTCCTGGAGTACCAATTTTACTCAACAATTAAGGAGGAAAGGACATTCTTTTCATATTAAAACAAACACAGGCATAAGCTGGAGTAGAATGCAAAACTCACTTGGATTTTTGACATCCAACAAAGATTTTGGGCCTGCATTGCCTTGCCCCTTCAGCCTACTTGCTCACCCCCCATCCCCAGATGGACACAGGAACTAGAAAAGCCCCTGCACTTGGAGCTTGGAAACGCGGGTTCCAACCTAGCTCGGCTGGTTACTACCTTGTGACCCTAAGTGCTGAATTCCTTGGGCCTTGTTTCCTCATTGGTAATATGGCGTTAACCACACCTGTATCCAGAATTGTGATAACAAACAAGACAATATATGTGAATGTGCCTGGCATAGTGCCTGGTCAATAATAGGTGCTCAACAAATGTTAGTTTATCAGGAGCCTAGGAGATAGGGCTAAAGGAGCATGGTAGGTGGAACAGAAGCTACTATGTTATTGCTACTAAGCCTCCCAGGTCTTTATGGGGGAGAGAGTGGGGAACTGAGTCCTGACAGCAATGATTCTAGATGGTCATTCTGCCTTGTGGTCTGGGATGGGAAGTCTATGATTTACGAACCTAGCTTTGCCCCTAAATCGTATCCTAATTCTCCTTCAGCTCATTTAGCCTCAGTTTTTCTATATCTTAGTATGTGAGTTTTCTAAGATTTGGGTCCACTGTCAATTACTCCAAGCCCAATATTACCCCAATACTCTCTAAGTACTTGGCTCAGGTCATCTTAGGTACTTAGGCTGCCATCTGTGCTTCATGTATGTGCTTAAACTTTTCCATGTGTGTAATTCTATATCCTTGGCAGCCTGTAAACTACCCAAAGAACAGGGATCCTGCCTTTTGTGTGTGTGTGTGTGTGTGTGTGTGTGTGAGGAAGATCAGCCCTGAGCTAACATCCAATGCCAATCATCCTCTTTTTGCTGAGGAAGATTGGCCCTGGGCTAACATCCATGCCCATCTTCCTCTACTTTATATGGGACACCGCCACAGCATGGCTTGACAAGCTGTGTGTCGGTGCACGCCTGGGATCTGAACCTGCGAACCCTGGGCCACCGGAAGTGAAGCGCGCGCACTTAACCGCTGCACCACTGGGCCAGCCCCTGCCTCTTTTAAAGAACCTAAATACTGTAATATTGAACCATTTTACTAATCTGTCATTGATGATCTTACAGAAAAATGTGGAAAAAATTATTTTGACTGAGAAAGGCTAGGGCCATGTCTTGAGTAGTCTTAACTTCCTTTTAGCAACCCATTATGAATCTGTCCTCTGAGAATGTATCTAAAGCTTTTGGAACTTACTTAGGGGACACATTAGTATAATTACTTTTTATATTTTAAAATGGCAATATGGAGCAGACCATAAGTATAACAGTTCTGCCAATTTAGAATTTTAGTCTAGGTGGAAGCAGGGGGTGGGGTTGAAATATTATAATGCGGTTAAGCTTTATTGAGGGAACTAGATGCCAGGCACTGTTCTATTTCGTTTAATCCTCCCAACTGCCTGATGAGACAGGTACTGCATTATCACCCCTATTTTACAGATGAGAAAATTAAAGTGAAAAGAAGTTTATCAGCTTGCCCACCTCTATAAGATTAGTAAGTGGCAGTGCCAAAAATTGGAATCCATGGCTCCCACTCTTAACTACCTTGCTATGCTACCTCTTGCCATGCATACTAAGCCTCATGGAGCTTTGAACTCATCTAAATGAGTTGAAAGCCAAACCACAGGGGCCACTAATACTTGCTTATCTTTCTGATCTTTCTCTGGGCCTCCTTCGCCAACTCTTTGACCAATCCCTAAGAGGTCATGACCTTCCAAGCTTTGCATGGAATTCCCTAATACAATACACTCTAGATACACGCTATACATATCTATTATAGCCTTGCTTACAAGCTGCCTTGGAGTTGCTTTTTAGCCATCTAATGTATGTATGTTTTGTCTAACTAGATTGTAAACACCTAGAGGACAGGGACTGTATCTTGCTTTTTCCGTATCCCTCCCAGTGCCTAGGACTAGGCCGGAGACGCCAAGAGAGCTTATTTAACTGTTGTTGACAGACTCAGGACCATCCTCCGCCCCGCCTTGGCCACTCCCCTTTTCCTCGGTGACCACTCCACTGCCTCCTCCTGGGTCCCCACCCCTTCCCGCTTCCTTTATTCTTACGCCCTCTGGCCCCGCCCCTCCTTCTTGGAGTCCGTCCTTTCCCCTCGTCCCGGCAGCATCTCCAGCGTCCCCTAGCGACGGGGCAGTAGCTCCTAGCAACCGCAACTCGGTTCCCTGACGACGGCTGCACGTAGGGACACGTCAGCGCGCCGTGGCCCCGCCCCTGGCGCCGGCCGGCCCCGCCTCCCCGTGCCTCGTTCGCCGCCGCTGTCGCCGCAGCCGCCGCCGCCGCCTCCTCCCGAGACTCGCACAGAGCAGTTATGGCGGATCCCGCAGCGCCCGCACCCGCAGCTCCGGCTCCTGCCCAGGCCCCGGCCGCGGCCCCGGCCCCGGACGCAGCCCCCACCCCGGCGCCGGCTCCCGCCCCGGACTCGGCCTCCGGGCCGTCCTCAGACTCCGGCCCCGAAGCCGGCTCGCAGCGGCTGCTGTTCTCTCACGACCTGGTGTCGGGCCGTTACCGCGGTTCGGTGCACTTCGGGCTGGTGCGCCTCATCCACGGCGAGGACTCGGACTCGGAGGGCGAGGAGGAGGGCCGCGGGAGCTCGGGCTGCTCCGAGGCGGGGGGCGCGGGCCACGAGGAGGGCAGGGCCAGCCCGCTGCGCCGCGGCTACGTGCGCGTTCAGTGGTACCCGGAGGGCGTCAAGCAGCACGTGAAGGAGACCAAGGTGCGGCGGGCGGACAGGGGCCGGCGGGAGGACGGAGTTAGCTGCTCGAGCCCTAGGCCGGGGAGGGCAGGGAGGGGAGGTGTGCGAGGCGCTGCCCAGAATGGTGCAGCTGCAGTGGGGCGAGGTGAGAGGACAAGCCTCAGCGGAGGGGACGCTCCGGTGCAAAGTCATTGCACCAGCCCTGGGCCACCGGGCCCCGGCTTCCCCACGCGAAGGGACTTCCGAGCCATGCTGTGCTATGCTGTAGTGTCGGCCTCAGGATTGTGAACGTGGACCCACCACGGTGGGGAACCCCTGGGGCTCTGAGGCACGCTGGCATTACCCCAGCGCGGCGCTTTGCTGACCCCTGAGGAGCTACATACTGCATTGTGCATCCGGAAAGGAAGGCCCTGCCGGGTCGGTGCAGGGAGGGGTTGTGGGCATTCCGAAACAAGGATAGAGGTGAAAAACTCGGGCACTGTAAAAACCCGAGAAGTTCACTAGATTACAGAATGCATTATTATGGGTGAAGAAACCCAACTCCTTTTGGTTTTATCTTATTGCCTCATTTTAATTGCTGCGGGGAACTTTGTGAGTAAAATCATTATCAGTGCCGTGATATTAATAGTACTGGGGGGGGGGTGATGTGACAGCTGCGATTGGGATTGATGACTCCTAAGTGCAGTTGGACTTCTTGAAAAAAATACTGTAGAACCATGGATGGAGGAGAGCCACCCATTTGGAAATCTGAAGGGTTTTTCTTGACTAGAGGCTGTTAAGCAGACATCAGACTCCCAAATGGTATTGAGTTGAGGCTGGTGAATATTGCAGTTTTACAAAAACAAAGAGGTTTATCATCATAAACCTGAAACCTTGAACCAAGGTTGGTTTGGTGGCTTTTCGTGTCTTGTTTTCCTGAGTGTGAATTCCTATCAGTGGTTCACACACACACCCCTGTATCTTTCAACCCTTCTTCATCTTCTCCCCTTCAAGAAAACATTTATAAGCAGGAATCAGGCCTGGGCTGTTTCAGCTGCCTGGGATGTTGAGAGGTCTGATTTCAGGGGAAGGGACTTTAGAAGTTAATCTGGGTTTCTCACACCCTGGGGGACAAAGGCCACAGAGGAATGCGGCTTTCATGCCACACTACAAAGGGGGACTGTGATGATGGCTCAGGCAGGGGAAAAGGCCCCACTCCCAGGAAGAGCCTGTGATCCATTTCCTAGTGGCAGAAGTGACTGCTGATACCAGCAGGATCTTTTTCCTTGCCAGTGCGCATGCATCCACAGACAGAAATCCGCACACAGGACTCCTGGCTTCCCCTCAGAGAAATGCAAATCAGGCAATAGCTTCTCTGATTCGGGGAGGAAATTATAAGCTCATGTGCAAAAGTATGTGGAAGATATTATTTTTTGGAGCAGAATGCTTCTTAAAAATTACCCCCAGTATTATGTCAAGAAGAGAAGATTTTTGCTGTGTGTCCTGTCTTTGTGCATTGTTTTACTAGCAAATGGTTGTTAGTGTCTTTCTGTGGGATTTTAAAATATGTTTTTCCCTAACTATCTTCTCTAGAGGTTTGTGACTTCTGGAATGCAACTCATTTGACTGTGTCGTGGCCTCCTGCCCTGGGACTCAGGAGGCAAGCCCAGCACACTACCGGGAGCTGCCATGTTTATCAGTTGCTCCTGTTCATCTTGATTTTGGTGGTTGACTTTGTTTACAGTTACATTCCGTCTGCCTCCCCCACCATGTGTAATTATATGAAGTTTGACTTAAAATACCTATTTTGAAATTAAATAGAAAATAACTTTAAGGCACCAGCTTGGATATAGTTTGGAGCTGCCCTCTTGTGACTTGCTTTGAATTTGTTAAAATCCATTGTGGCTCTAGTGGTGGTGTTTTCTTTGCAATTGTAGTTTCTGTAGCTTCTGAGCTTAGCAGAAGCTAAGGGGCACAGGAATTCTTGGAAGTGGTGGTGTGCAGTGTCCATTTATAGATGGCAGGACCCAGTTCTTCTTCTAGGACTTGTGAATGGGTTTGTTTGGGGGGGAAGTTTATACGTGATAGGTAGCTCTCTGTTACTATGAGCCCTAGGCACAAATGACCCTGGTCATCTGAACGTCTCTCCTGCTTTGCTCCTGGCCACCGATTAGGGTGGTAGAATGGGTCCTGGGACCTTGCAGCACTGTGGCTTAGGAAGATTTTCCTTCTCGCCTCCCATTGTTTATAAATCCATTGAGGTGACAGTGTGCTGTAATGGAAAGACCATTAGACTGAGACTGAGCATTTAGGTTCTGATTCTTGCTCCATCCCTAATCTGGTTATGAGATTTGAGAACCCAATTATTGATAGAATAATGTAGTGACAGTTTTGGGAAACATTTTTTTAAAGCTGCCACCTATTGGAATTTTTTAAATAGTGCCCTTTTAATGTGAAATGTTTAGTAGGCTGTGGAATATTTTTGTAGTTTTCATGTTTATTTGGTGGGCAATGAGTAAAGGCTTACGATTAGTCTCTTGTTAAGTTTTAAGTTAAACTCATTAAGTTTTTAATGAACAAATTCAAAAAGAGAGGTGAAGAGGCTAGCCAACAAGTCCTACTGTCTTCTGGCCACTTCCATGAAAATTATCAACAGAAACAAAATAAGTAGTTCTTCCTTGGAACTGTGGAATTTATGGTCCAGTTCCTGAGGCTTCCAGCAGCCAAAGTTAAGCTTCTTTAGGACTTAAAAGAGGCACGCAGCTTGTGCTCCTTCCTTCCCTCAGTCTCCTGACGTCCTCGGCATAGTAGCTGATTTATCCACTTGAAACTTTTCCCATTTGGCCACGGATCTCCTCTGCAGAAACTTACCCCCTCCCTATCAGTGGTCAGCCTTTGAGTAAAATTTTGGAATAAAGCCAAATGCCAACAGCCTCTTTGCCTTCTTGAGCACTGGCTAGACATGGTGGATCTTTCTCTTCTCCACCTGTCATGGTTGGACAGAATGGCCCCCGTAAGGAAGAGAGCAGACTGCTGTCTGTGAGTCCAGGTTTGGGAGCTCCCTGTTTAGTTTTCCCATCTCTTGTTTCTTTTGCTTTAGTTGCCATGACATTCAAGGTCTCGTGGGGTTTGAGATTTCATGTCTCTAAATTAAAGCTGTCTGTCTGTGATCACCCAGCTTTTGTGAGGCTATGTGTGTGTGTAGCATCCCTGATGACAGGTCCCTCAGGTATTGGCTTTTCGGTTTATTTTTGGCTCCTACTCAGACCAACATTTCCATGGGGAAAGCTATTTAGGTGTAGCATCGTAGCATGTGAAGTTTGCTTGCCTCGCTTGTCCAGGTGCTGGACCCATTAAAAGCAATTGTTCTTGTGATGCAGTAGGAAGAAGTTAGGTAAGGGTAACCAAGATGCAGGACTGAGTGCATCTAATTGCACTTTATTCAGATAGGATCACAGCGCTGTAGACTCTCACAGCTGTTCTGTGATTTTATTCTTTGTCCTTCAGTTTCCCCCCTTCTAACTCCTGGGACTCAATGCCATGGTGGTGCCTCTGTCTGGCTTGCTGCCTGAGTCAAGGGCACTTGTACCAGATGAAGGGCCCGTGTTTGTGTCCTGTGATTGGAAGTCAAAACCCTTGAGTGCTCTTCCTGGCTGTCACCTACTCTGAATGACCTTGGACTAGTCACTGCCTCATTTTCTCTCTCTGCAATAAAATACAAGGTCTGTCTTTCTAGCCTCTGAAATGAGCCTGCACGAGTGGAATAACCAGAAGCGTAGCTGGGTGGTGCCTGGGGTGGCCACTTGGCTATTAGCAGACACCATCCTGATGTCCATCAGACAGAACCAGCCCCATCCCTTCAGAATATTACTTCTTTGAGTCACAGGGTGGTGCTACAACCAAAGAGGTGTGTTGCGACGCAAAAGGTGCGGGGGGAAGCTGGAGGCGGGCTGACTAGAAGAAGGGTGTCCTATGGGGGGGGGGGGGGGGGGGGGGGGGGTTTGTTTCAGTAGGGTGGGAATTCCTGATTGATCTTGTTGTTGCTTGAGACCTGGTGGATTATAGATTTGACTTCTTTATTAAGCCTCATGTAAATACACAGGAACTTCACTCCTCCTCTGGTATTTTATAAGAAATTCAGTAATGCACGTTTAAAGTAACACCTGCCAAAGTCCACCATCCTCCAGGAGGGGGAATGGAATGAATATATATGTGTGTATGTGTATATATTTTTCAGAATCTGGAAGACATCTTTTGAAATTCCTAAAAGACAGGTGATGAGATTATGAATTACAAGATAGTAGAGTTAATTGCTTTTGTATTTTAAGATAAGAAGAAGAACAAACATTATATAGTGTTACTATGTGCCAGGTACTCTAAAGGCTTTCTGTGTATTAGTCAATGTTCACAACAACCCTGTGAATTAGGAACTATTATTATCGCCGTATTTCAGAGGAGGAAACTAAGGAACAAAGAGGTTAAGTAACTTGTCCAGTGTCACACTGCTAATAAGTGGAGGAGTGAAGTAAATATAGTTTGCTCTCACCTGAGAATGTTTAAGTTTAGGCTTCATAGATCATTACTATATCGAGTACCCTGATCAAACGTGAGTCACAAACCCTGTGGTTGGCATTAGTCATGCAGTCTTGAAACACTTGAAAGTCTTAGTGGAGTAGGAGGTAGCAATAGGTGAAGGAGAGAGTAAGGAGCAGGGTGTTGGGATGGGTGGAAGGTGTACCAGTGGCCAGGAGGGAGGGAGATCATGGCTGGGAAGCACCATGGAAAAAACTCTGTATTTGTACTTGTGCTGTGCTTCTGTTCTGCATTCTTCATTCCCTTGCCCCTCAGTCATTCTCAAAATAACTGTCAAAAAACACATTTTATTTCTAGAGAACCTGTGAATGCCCCTAGATGTTGAATGAAAGCAACCTCTTTAAGTCTAATTCATTCCAACACTGGGTTATTCCTCACCTCCACCTCCCAGAGCAAAATAAGTCACACGGTAACTGGCATTTCTATGTTGTCTTAGAAATGGTTAGTGC